CAGGTTAAGGGCTCAGTCCCATAAGACTGCTTCCACTTCAGGTATCAATCACCAGTAGTGGGATGTTACCAATACTTCTGACCAACAGGCTATAAATCATGGCTCCCACTACCACCTTGAAAAAACTGCATGTTTTGAGAATGGCTTAAGGGCTGGGATGAATTTGTCCCACAATCATGCTGGGTGGTGTGGTACTACTGTCTAAGCTAAGTTGCTGAAGTTCAACTAGCTTCTTACCTTGTTCTTGTGCGGTCCTGGCTGTCTGGGCAAGTGTCCTGGGTAGACTCAGTGTTTCTCTGGGTTTTGTGTAAGATGACTGGCTTTGACATGGTGTTCGGGGGACTGGTAACATAAGGAATCCTTCTCTCTCCTTTTTTTTTTTTTTTTTTTTAGTTTTAGATGGAATGTCACTCTGTCGCCCAGGCAGGAGTACAGTGGTGCAATCTCGGCTCATTGCAACCTCTGCCTCCTGGGTTCAAGCAATTCTCCTGCCTCAGTGTCCCAAGTAGCTGGGATTACAACCACCCACCACACCTGGCTAATTTTTGTGTTTTTATTAGAGATGGGGTTTCACCATGTTGGCTAGGCTGGTCTCAAACTCCTGACCTCAGGTGATCCGCCTGCCTTGGCCTCCCAAAGTGCTGGGATTACAGGCGTGAGCTACTGCACCTGGCCTGAATCCTTCTCTCTTTTGTGAACTGGCCTGAGGCTCCAGTTTTGTACCCTTTTGTAATAATATTTCTATAAAAAATACTTTTTCCAACATTTAGACCTTTATGAATCGAGGAAACAAATAGCTTTCATAATGTCAGATTATAGACTTATTTTTGTTACAGAGAAGTATAATACAGTAGTCAATTAAAGATTCAAGCATAAAATATATTTGGATAATGTACTATGGGAGAAGTGGGATGAGAATATGACTTCAAGGAGAAAAAGGAATAATCTAAAATTACTTTGTTTCAGAAGAGCTTGTTTATGTACTTTTTAAATGGATGATGGTTATTTTAGTTAAGGGGCTGTTAGCTACTGAAGCAGATAAACCATCAAATCTCAATGGCTTAAGTAGAAATTTACATGAGTAAGTCATATAAAAATCTAATGGCTACTAAGCGGTGGGTGTTAATGGGAGATTGGAAGGCAGTGGTTGGAGGAAATGGTCTTTGCTCAATGTAGTCAATCAACATGTAGCAGGTAGAAGGGGAAAGAGAGAGAGCAGCATACAGATAGATTGTGCATTGGCAGTTTTTAATGGGTCAGACCAGGAAGTAGCATAAGTCACTTTCACTCACATTCTATTGCCCTGAATTCATTCTACACAGCCACACCTAATTTCAAGGGATGCTTTTTATCCACAAAGAAGAGAAAGTGGGATTGGTAAACAGCTAGTTGATCTGTAATTCTAGAGTGGAGATAAAATTGCTAAAATATTTAGATTTATTTTTTGTACAATAAAAAGAGCAAAATCACAGGTCTACTTTTAATGTCAGCATCTAAACGGCAAAGGAAAATGTATCTTTTGTGAAGACAGTCCATTGAGATTTGGGTTTAAAACATCTTTAGTTGGAGCAAGCAGGCAGTTGCAATCTGACTGATTTTTCAAGTTTATAATTTGTATGTCTTAAGGTTGTTTATGCATGAGCTTCAGCTCATCAAACTTCAGAAGAAAAAGAGTTTCAGTTTTGGTGAGTCCAAGTCAGAAAAGTGGAAGAAAAATTTAGAAAACATTAGTTTGGAAACTTATAGCCGGGAAAGAATTCAGGATTCAGGATTTCCTGCAAGGAAAACAATAACCCCAAAACAATGGGCAGGGTTAGGAATTTAATAACAGGTACATGATAATTTTCTTCTGAAACATAGTTTTCCTCTCTTTGTTCCCCATTTCTAACAAAGATAAATCATAGAAAGACCAATTTATATATAAAATTAAGTTTTAGTCTTATACCTGGTGATTATTTGCATAAAGTACACTAAGAATAGTGATTTATCACACAAGCTCTTTCAAGTCGGTTTGTTGGAACATTTTCATAAAAAATCGCAGATTCGACTTTTTAAAAACTTAAGAGCCAGAGCTGAGTATGATGTTTCATGCCTGTAATCCAAGTTCGTTGGGAGACTGAGGTGGGTGGATTGCTGGAGCTCAAGAGCTTGAGATAAGCCTGGGCAGAATGGCAAAACCCCATCTCCACCCAAAAAAAAAAAAACTTAGAGGCCAAGCCAAACACTGTATTACCTGTACCAAAAAATTGGGTGAATACCTTTCTTCTCAAGGCCCTCGAAATACCTTGAGTTTCCTGGGTCTGTCCAAAAGTGAGATTCTTGACTTACTTCAAGGTCAGGAACCTTGTAAGGGAACTGTGTAGACCCAGGCCAGTCTTTTTCCAAGTCTGTTGGCTTCATAAAATGCACCTCAATTCCTCAAAGAAGTCTGGTCATTTCTAAAAATAGGAAATTCCAGTCAAAGCCTCGGTAAAATAATCAGCATTTCAAATTATGTACTATTAAAAAGAAAACAGATTTTTACTGAATCTATGCAAATAATTATATTGTCATAAAATAAGAAAACTCACAAATGGTTTCTAAATTTTGGAGTGACCAAATAAAGAGGTAAATGTTTCAGTTTGGCTCACAAAAGTATACTTTACTTAGTTGGTAAAGCTATAAATAGCTTAAAAGAAAAGTGTTTTCTTTAGGAAAAAAAGAATCAGCAATGTTTCAAACAAAAAATTGTCATTGAAAAGCAGTTTCCATTTTTCATTAGTTCAGTCTCATGTAGTTAACTATTGTTCCATTTGTTGATACATTAGCAATTTTATGAGTCCACTTTTATTCTCTTAGTGTTCTGAAATTTTTTTACCCCGTCTAATGATTAAATCTTGATTTTTTTTTTTTTAAATTTTAAAGGATGAGCTTGCTGTTAAAAGAAAAAGAAGAAGAAGAAGAAATTTTAAATAGAGATAAGGTCTTGCTATGTTGCTCAGGCTGGTCTTTAACTCCTGGTTTCAAGCGATCATTCTGCCTTGGCCTCCTAAAATGCTGGGACTACAGACATGATTCAATCTTAAAGTAATCAGAAACATGTATTCAAGATTATGTGTTGTAGTCTTTTCCACAAATTTCCTTAAAGACACAAAATTTTAAGATTTATAAAGGGAGAGACCAAGGCAGGCAGATCACCTGAGGTCAGGAATTTGAGACTAGCCTGGCCAAATGGCAAAACCCTGTCTTTATTAAAAATACAAAAAAATAGCTGGATGTGGTGGCGTGCACCTGTAGTCCCAGCTACTCAGGAGGCCGAGGCACGAGAATCACTTGAACCTGGGAGGTGGAGGTTGTAGTGAGCCGAGATCACGCCACTGCACTCCAGCCTGGGTGACAGCAAAGATTTATAAAGAGCTTCAGAAAACAAGAGCATAAGGATAAAACCACAGATGCTTAATTGTGAACAATAAGACTTAAAATGACCATGATTAAAGATGCAATTGACAAGGAAATTTGGTCATTTTTGTGGTCTACAACAACTTTACACAGTATCCGTAATTATGACTGATAACACATATCAGGACATATCAGTTTTTTAAGAATCACATAATTTTGGAACACGTACTAACACATTTATACAAAAATGACTCAAAAAAAGGCTAAACATTATTTCTTATTTCACAATCCTTCCTGCATGATTTTAACATACCAAGTAAGCCTAACATGTCTCTCTCGTATTTCCAGGAACCCTTCCAGAGTGTCTAAAAGTTAGTTTGAAGTCAAAAAGACTTAATTTTTAATTTGAAGTTTGATTTTGGGAAGCCTGTAAAATATGTCAAAGATTTAAAACACTTGAACAGCAATAGGATCATAGGTCATTGTGAAATAACTGTTATTCATTTAGAAAAACTGATCATTAAAAATGCAAAAAGTAAAAATCTTTTTTTTTGTGGGCAAATCTCTTTTTAATTGCAAAAGACTTCATTTATAGCACATTCAATAATCAACCAACGGGAGAGTTGCTGACTTTGGAACATATGAATATATAAAAATCCCTTGCAGTTCAGGTAGTCAAGATAATAAACGCATACAGGGAAAGCAACCTTCATTTTTCTGAAAACGTTTACATTTTAAAAGGTCACTAAGTATACTTGGAAGTTTAAAGCGGTAGAATGTACCTTGGAGGGAAAGGAGGAGGAAAACCCTTTTCCATGTTGCCAGACAAATTTGTATCAAATCTATTCCAATTCCGCTTGGTAAAGTCAGCTGGATGACCTCCTTGAACCAGGATAGGGCAGAACACTTGTGAAAGCGGGCCCTGGGTAGGGATGTGAATCCAGGAGAGGAGTACCAGACCCCATGCAGCGCCAAACACACCCGTCCCACCCTCTAATACAGACGAGGCACGTCGCCCATGTCCCTGGACCCGGATGCACAAGAACAGTCATCAGATGGTTACTGCTCCCACAGCCTAGCACTTTTTAATGGTCTTAATTTAGGCCATGGAGAAAAGTCCTTTACCACCAAGTGCAAACCGTCATTGAACTTAAGTCATAAATGATGCTAGGGGGCAAATTCTTGTAGTACATATATAAGGACTTCTATTTACCTAATTAGAACAATGATCACACAATTGACATTCCTGCTTCCATAAGGGTTTGTTCTCTGCACTGGAATGGCTTAAGAAAACGTTGTCTATTTTTGGTTCTATTTTACACTTTCAAAATAGAGGGAGTAGAGAGAAAAAGTGTGACCAAGTGCCTAACTTTGGAGCCCAGCAGGTACAAAAGCGAACTTCTCTGACTCTGGGTCCATCAGATTTGGGGGAAGTTTCAGTGCCTAGGGAAGGTTAGTGAAGCCCATTACACCCCGAATCCTATAGAAAGAATTCTACAGCTCATCTATCACAGTGTTCTAGTAAAGCATATGCGGAAAAGTACAGGTTTCAACCTAACATCTACATTTTTAAAAGTAGCATTTCAGCAACAAACAAGCTCAGAGAGCTCATCGCAAAGTGGAATAATAGAACTGCTCAGATGTCAAAAAAGTCAAGCTGCTGCCCTCAGCTCTGCTCAGGCAGACACGTAAGGGGGCGGCGGCTGTTTGGCAGCACCATTCACAGTGGCCTCATCATACGGGGGTAGCAGCACCTTATTGTCATTGCTGGTAACGTAAACCAGGACATCGGAGGAGTTCCTGCCATTTATGTATAGGTATCAGTTCCAAACACAACTAATCAAGTAACCCTTGAAAGTCAAGATAATGCTAATAAACAGAAGAATAATAAGGACCAAACAGGTAGGATTCACTGACATGACATCATCTCTGTAGGGAAAATTAGGAGGCAGTTGTCGTATGTATTCCTGAATGGAGTTTGGATAAACAAACACAGTGATTGCAACCAAGGGGTTCAGGGCAAAATCAAAGATCTGGTAACAGAAGAATGGGATAATCCAGGCTACGTGTTGCTTGTATGCTCCGTAAGTAGCCATAGCACATATCAGAATCATGAGAACAGAAATCGCAATGGCAATGCACATGTTGGCATCATCCATGAACTCAAAGTCACCGCCCAGTTCAGAACTTGAAAAGTGATACTGATCCGGGTCAGCCAGGGCACTCAATAAAATCAACAGTACCACGGCATTGATGACCAGGTACCAGACACCGAGCAGGATGGTGCCGGTGCGGACATGGCAGCACAGGCAGCAGCTGTTGGAGTAGAACCGCGTCCAGGGCGCGACCATCTTCATCGATGCGGGTGCAGCGGCGCGAGCGCGCGCCCGAGTTTTCAGGAGCGCGGATCGCCTCGTCCGGGGCTCGCCGCGCTGCTGCTGCCGGCTCCTCAACCGCTCCGGGTCCTGGCCCACTCGCCCGTGCGCCCACAGGCCTCCCTATTAGATCCCCCGAGAGCTGCGAGCAGCTGCTGCGGCGAGACCCTGCGCTCCGAAGGCGGCGGCGGCGCGGGCCTAAAAATCTTTTCATGGTAGAAAGGGGACTCAGTTTTCTAAGCAATCAAAATATCTAATAGAGACAGCAGGAGGCAAACAGAGTCTATCTGTCCATCCCCACTTTTTTTGCAGTTTACTGAAAAATGAGCAACAAATTTTTTCTACTATCACATTAATAGTACACAAAAATCTTTTTCAAAAGAGAAAAGCAAATTTTATTTATTTTAATTTTTTTAGAGACAGAGTCTCTATTATTCAGGCTGGAGTACAGTGGCATAACTATAGCTCCCTGTAACCTTGCTCTCCTAAGCTCAAACCGTCTTTCTACTTTACAACCTCCTGAATAGTTAGGACTACAGGCACATGCCATTATGCCTGGCTAATTTATAAATATTTTTGTAGAGATGAGATCTTACTTTCTTGCCCAGTCCTGGCTTACTGAAACTCATCTCCTAGACTCAAGCAATCCTCCCACCTCAACTCACCCAAGTAGCTGGGATTACAGGCTTGTGCTACTATGCCCAACTAATTTTTATTTTTTACCTTTTGTAAAGACAAGGCCTGCCTATGTTGCTCAGGCTTGTTTCAAACTGCTAAGCTCAAGCAGTCCTGCTGCGTTGGCCTCCCAAAGTGCTGGGATTACAGACATGAACCACTGCACTTGGCATTACCAACAATTTAAAAACTAGTTTTGCTTTAACCTATATTACTAAATTTACATGAACTTGAAAAGCATTTTGGCTGATTAAATTATGAACACATTTATTTACAGGTCAATTTGGTGACATGTAGATAATATAAAGGCAGCCATGTATACATACATGCATAAAATACAGACAAACATAAGTAAAGATTTTATAGCATTGATTTAAAAATTTTAGCAACAAGACATGTAGAACTCACTTAAAGGACAGTTGAATTCAAACTCTATCATTGTGAATGAAACAAGTTAAAGTTTATCTGTCCCACATAGTCAAAGCCCTCATCAAGGTTTTTGTTTTGTTTTGTTTTTTAGAGAACAGTGTAGCACATTTATATCTCATAGCACAAAGAGAATTTAAGCTTTCTGAAGAAGAAGTTGGGGTGTGTTAGAGAAACATTAAAAATAGATGCCCAGGTAACATAAAATTATAGGAATTCACCACAGGAGATCAATTTTATAAGGAGATCAATTTTAGGTAGTTTTCAATTTAGTCTCTATTTTCCAGTTGGACCACTGAGCTCAGGGTGGAGCCCATTAATGAATAGTACCAATAAAGGTGCTTACAGTTTCCAGGGCCCAATACTGATATTTGTGAAAAGCAGACACAACTGGAAGGCAGAACACCTAGATCCTAGAAGTGTATGATCCCATTTTCACTGAATTCCAGGTTCTCAGAGTGGAGGCAAAAGTCCAAGAGGGAAAGGTCAGGGAGATGGTTCATGCCATCTTCTACAGTATATCTCATCGGAAGGAAAGTCCCCCGAGGCTTGTGGGTGACTCAATAGAAGTCCCCCAAGGATGGCAGGACTCCAGCCCACTCTGTGATCAGCCTATCCCCCATAGGAGTCTTATCCTTTTGTGGTGAGTGTTCCTACAGCCTCCACGTTTCCAAAACGTACTTAAAAAAAAAAAAAAAAAAAAATCTAACCATGCACAAAAAAAAAAAAAAATCAGTAGCCCCTGTGTAATACCCATTCATTGCAACCACTGTCAGCCCCTCCAAAACTACAGCCCTCACCAGTGACTGCATCCACTGAGTTTAGAGCCAGTCATTGCACACTTAAAGATCAGGTGTTCTCTCATAGTACAGCATAACTCCTGGTACCCTCAAAAGCAAAGCTTTCAGGGAACTCAGTGCAAATGAGAGCAGAGCTTTAGACCTGAGAAGAACCTGCTCATGACTTTTGGTGCTTCATGAAGAAGATAGAAGACCCCAAAATGTAGTCAGGAGCACCTTTTTTGTCTTCTTTAAGGAATGTCAGAGTTGCTAGGGGTCCACTCTAGATCTCTTCATATGGTATCAAAGGTAGCAAAAAAGGAAGGAAGAATAAAAGTAAATGGGAGAACAAGTCTCAGAGAAGCCAATTTGGGGAGATTTAAAACTTCTCAAAAAATGTCGAAGTTTTACCAAAGATGGTGGAACATTGTTGGCAAAACACTGAAAAAAGAAATCAAACTAAAGTTCTAAACCCAGTAAAAGTATCTTTCACAAAAAGGCAAAATAAAGGCTTTGTCAGATATATAAAAAGTGCCTCTTTCCCTTGCTCTCCATCCTTTTTGCCATGTGAGAATGCAGCATTCAAGACACTATTTTGGAAGCAGAGATCTGGGCTCTCATCAGACACCAAACCTGCCAGCTCCTTGATCTTGAACTTCTTAGCCTCCAGGACTGTGAGAATAAATTTCTATTGTTATAAGCGTATATATAAAGAGAGAGAGAGAGAGAGAGAGGAAGAATTTAATGGCAGCAGAATTGCCCTACAAGAAATGCTAAAAGGGCCAGGTGCAGTGGCTCACACCTATAATCCCAGCTGAGGTGGGTGGATCACTTGAGGCCAGGAGTTCAAGACCAGCCTGGCCAACATGGTGAAACCCTGTCTCTACTAAAATACAAAAAATTAGCTGGGCATGTTGGCAGGCGCCTGTAATCCTAGCTATTCTGGAGGCCGAGGCAGGAGAATCATTTGAACCTGGGAGGCAGAGGAGGGTACAGTGAGCCAAAATCACACCACTGCACTCCAGCCTGGGTGTCAGAATGTGACTCTGTCAGGAAAGAAGGGAGGGAGGGAGGGAGGGAGAGAGGAAGGAAGGAAGCAAAAAAAAATCTGCTAAGCAGAAGGGAAGTGATACTAGATGAAAACCTATAACTACACAAAGGAATGAAGAGAGCACTGGAAATGGTAAAAATGTGGGCAAAGATAAAATACACTCCTTGCTAATTTACAACAGTTCTTTAAAAAATAATTGAAGCCATGTCAGTAGTCCCAGCTACTCCAGAGGCTGAGGCAGGAGGATCACTTGAGCTCAGGCATTTAAGACCAGCCTGAGCACCAAAGCAAGAGCTTTATCTCTTTAAAAAAAATTGGCTGGCCAGTCACAAAAGACCACATGTGATATGGATTCATTTACCTTAAATGGCTGGAATAGGCAAATCTATAGACAAGGATTAATGATTGCCTAGGGCTTGGAGGATGGGGGAAAATGGAGAGTGACTGCTAATGAGTATGGGGTTTCTTTTTGGGATAATGAAATGCTCAAAAATGATAGTTGCACAAGTCTGTGAATATACTAAAAATTGTTGAAGCGTGCACTTTAGATGAGTGAATTATATAGCTTGTTAATTATTTCTGTCTCTCTCTCTTTTTTTGAGATAAGGTCTCACTTTATCACTCAGGCTGGAGTGCAGTGGTGTGATAATGGCTCACTGCAGCCTTGCAGCCGCAGCTTCCTGGGCTCAGGTCACTCTCCCATCTCAGTCTCTTAAGTATCTGGGACTACAGACATGCACCACTATGCCCAGCTAATTTTTTGTATTTTTTGTAGAGATGGGGTTTCATCATGTTGCCCAGGCTGGTCTTGATCTCCTGAGCTCATGCAACCACTCACCTCAGCCTCTTAAAGTGCTGGGACTACAGGCATGCACCACTATGCCCAGTATATTATATTTCAACAAAATTCTTTAAAAAGATAACTAGTTATTTAAGGCAGGATTAATAACAATGAGCTGGTCACAGTGGCTCACACTTGTAATCCCAGCACTTTGGGAGGCTGAGTTGATAAGATCATTAGAGTTCAGGAGTTCATGAGTACCCTGGGCACCATAACAAGACCCCATCTTTACAAAATAATTTAAAAATTAGCTGAGTATAGTGGTAAGTGCCTGTGGTCCCAGCTACCTGGGAAGTTGTTGTGGGAGGATTGCTTGAGCCCAGGAGGTTGAGGCTACAGTGAGCCATGATTGCATCACTGCACTCCAGCCTGACAACAGAGTGAGACCCCATATAAAAAAAATTAATGGCAATGCATTGTGATGCTTATAAAATCTGAAGGAGTAAAATGCATGAAAATAGCACAAAGACAGGGGAAGGAAATAGATGTATATTGTGGTAAGATTATTATACCATACATGAAGTCTTGAAGGCATACATGAATTCTTGAAGGCAGATGATAATAAATTAAAGATTTATACTACACATCAATTAAATGTGATGTAAAACAACAATGAGATACTACTTCACACCCACTAGGATGGCTATAATCAAAAAGAAAAATAATTACAAGTATTAGTGAAGATATGGAGAATTTAGAACCTTAATGCACTGCCACTGCTGTGGGAATGTAAAATGATGCAGCTGCTTTGAAAAACAGTCTGGAAGTTCCTAGAATGGTTAACATAGACTTATCATATGACCCAGTAATCCAAGTCCAGGTATGTAGCCAAGAGAAATACTAACACATGTGTCTACACAGAAACATGTATACAAATATTGATAGTATCATTATTCATAATGGTCCAAAGATGAAAACAACTGAATTATCCATCAACTGATGATAATGAATAGATGAATAAAATATCTTATATCCATATAATGGAATATTATTTGTGAATCAATGGAATAAAGTACAAGTATATTTTACAACATGGATGAACTTTGAAAACATCATACTAATTGACAAAAACAGTCACAAATGACCACATATTGCATAATTTCATTTATACAAAATATCCAGAATAGGCAAATCTAATGGTTGCCTATGGCTGAGGAGAGTGGAGAAATGGAGAAGATTGCTTAGGTGTATGGGATCTCTTTTTGGGAATGAGAATGTTCTAGAATTGATCATGGTGATAGCTGCCAAACTATCATGGATCTGTTGCCATACTAAAGCCATTAAATTATATATTTTAAGCAGATGAAGTGTATGGTATGTGAATTATATCTCAAAAAAAGTTGTTTTACCAATATAGTCATGATAATAGTGGCAGCCTGTCTGGAGCAGCTGCTGCCATCATGCCAGCTGAAGCAGGGA